GCCTTTTTTTCAATGAAAAGACCAAAAAAAAAAAAAACCAAAAAAATCAAGAGGAACAAAAAGGGGTGCAACACGAGGACTTCCCGAGAGGTCACCCATCCTAGTACTACTCTCGCTCAAGCACGCTTAACTGCGGTGTTCTGATGGGATCCGGTGCATTAGTGCTGATATGATCGCACCCATTAGTATATGTATCGCATTAGCATATATCCTTTGGCTTTGAGTCCGCCTTGAAATCTCTTCGCGTGTGTTGCACTGTTTATATGGGTTTTCCCGCCCAGCTGCGACGAGCATTCGTGCCAAGATATATAAGTTAGGACACCACGTTTGACGACACTAAAACCAAGACTTATGTTTTCCCGCCCAGCTGCGACGAGCATTCGTGCCATTTCCATGTACCGCGGGAAGCTTTACCGGCCATTTTCATGTACCGCGAATGAAGTGTATCGGCCAAAATCTCCGGGTGTGAACGTGTCTCAGAAATCGCCTGTCCGGGGAGCCTTCCGGTCCGATTCAGACGGCGGGTGCTTCATAGAAGTTGGAGAGCATTGCATCACGGTCTCTTAGCAAGTGGAATCGTGGAATTCGGACGCGTGAGCAGAGAGATAAGCTTGTCGGAAGGAACCCCTGTCTCGCAGGTATTCCGGACCGAGCAGATCAGTCCTAAAGGATGCGAAGGACGGTGCACTTCCAGGCCGATTTAGTTTCCGGGTCCTTCATGAGAACCAGAGACATTTGAGTCTTCTTTCCAGAACGTCCAAGAGCATTCAATTCGGATCTATGAGCAGAAAGATACGGTCTCCGGAATGGACACATGTCTAGACGCCTCTCTCTGGTCGTGTACATGCACTGCAAAGATGTGCCCTCCAGGAAGCCTTAAACTTCCCAAGAACCGAAGCTTCCTTCACCAAAGTTGGAGATAAATGAGTCCTCTGTCTTCTGCAACCGAAATCATTCAATTCGGACTAGTCTCATAGGAGTTACACTCTCCGGAATGCGAAGTGGTCTAAGCTGCTCTGGATTCTGCGAGATGGTCTTGCGACTTGGTTAACCCGCAGCCCTGAAGATGAACGCCTGAATGCTGATGCTGCGAGTTGATATGTGCGGGTAAACTATCACTGGAAGAGGTCTGAAGCTCAAGAGCAAGAGAAATGCTAAGTCCACAATCGTGCGATTTAGGCATGCGAGTTAGCCGGGCCTGGAATTATGCCGCACGATCACTCGCAAATCACTCCGACTTGAGCCTGCGACCTAGGTGCAATAGAGACCAACCCGCACAGTTTGTACATTCCCCAGAAACCGCCTTAGCCCTGCGAGTTGGAGAGGAAGGAGACCAAGCCGCAGCAACACTCGCAAAACACTCCTACTTAGGCGTGCGGCTAAGTCAGTCTTTGACGTGGACACAAGACAAGTCTTCATCTACTGCGACTTAGGCGTGCGGCTAAGACAAGGCGATTCAGGCTTCACAAGATAAGTCTTCATCTACTGCGACTTAGGTGTGCGACTGGGACATACTGGACCAACCCGCAGTAATTCCCACTTTATCCATTAAAGCCGGGTCAGGACCCGGTTTGTTCCGGGCTGACCCGGTTTCGTTTTTAGGAAGTATAAATACTTTTTAGGGTTTTTTGGGAGAGAATTAAGTTTTATTCCCTTTGTCTCTTGCCTCTTTTGTGAAAAAGACTCCATTAAGAAGAGAAATATCTATATTTGAGTGTTTAATCAAGAGAGTTTAAAGAGATCTGGGTGTTTAAAGCTGTTTTCTTTTGAATCTATCATCTCCATCTCCATTTCTCATCATTAATCATGCTAATCTTCTCAACATGCAAAGGTTTAAGAGAGATTAGTATGATTAGTGAGTAGTCACCTTAATGAGGTTCTAGATGTGTAGGTTAGGGTGCTAAAGTGTTAGATTAGGAGTGCTTAGGGCTAGATTCATTGATTCATTTCTCTAAACAACTGTTCTCTATGCTAGATCCTTGATAATCACTTGAGATTTAGATTCTGGGAATTTCATGCACCAAAAGTGTTTGATGAAATTCCTGAAAGAGTTGTGTTAGAGGTTTAAGTAATTTTTCATCATGGGAATGATTTGTTAAATGCTTGAATGATCATTGAGAACTGTTTATTAATGCATATTGGTTCATATTTCACAAATGGGAATTTGGTTTGAAAATGGATTAGTATAGGGGTTAATACCTTCATGAGAGGATTAACCTAGATTAGAGTTTTTAATCACTTGAATCATGTCTCATCACTGTCATCAGCATCTCTAGTTTAACACCAAAGCACCCTGACCAACTATCATGTCTAGAATCTCATGCCTCCATCATATCATATTCACATCATATCATTTGTCATTGTCATTAGTCTTTAATCCTGTTTATGTTTATAGTTTTCTCTAGATTAATCAAAACCCACCCAGAAGCCAATACATTTTGTTGGAGAGTATGAGGAACCTTCTCAAATCTTTGAGAACATAAGTGAAGAAGGTCTTACCCAAGAGGAGCTCAACTACATTGGGAATCAGAGGTTCCAAAGATATCAGTATGGTAATGCCAATCCAAACCTCTCTTACAGGAACACCAATGTAGCAAACCCACAAGACCAGGTTTATCCCAATTCTCAAGCTCCAAAGAACTTTGTTCCCAAGAACAACTTTCAAGGGTCATTCCAACCCAAGAATCAATTTGGTCAGAATCAGAGTTTTGGTCAGCAACAGAAAACATTTCAGGGCACTGGTTACACTTCACAGCAGCCAAAGGCACCACCAGGGTTTGGTCCACCACAGTTCCAACAGCAGGCGCCGGTTCAACAACAGTTTCAGCCACCAATGGTTCAACAGCAGCCACAGATGGGTACAGATATGGTTGGTATTCTGCAACAACTACTTCAGGGTCAACAGACTATGCAGCAGGAAATCAAGGAACTGAAGCAAAACCAGGCATCAAGCTCAAGGAACCAAGGTCACCTACCTGGAAAACCAGAACCCAACCCCAAGGAATATGCCAAAGCCATTACACTGAGGAGTGGCAAGGAGTTACCTGGTATTGAGAACAACAAAGTGATCATTGAGGACAATGATCAACCTGAGGGGGAGGCAGCCTTAAAGGATGATCAAGTTGCTGAGAAACCAAGGACAGAAAAGGGTAAAGAGGTAGCAAAGGAACCAGAACCAGAGAAGAAGTATGTGCCACCACCTCCATACCAACCCAAGCTCCCATTTCCAGGGAGATTTAAGAAGCAACTAGTGAACAAGGCAAGAGCTGTATTTGAGAAGGCACTCAAAGAGACACCACTCACAATGCCTCTCATTGATGCATTCTTAATGATGCCGAAGATGGGGAAGTTCTTGAAGGATGCAATTCTGAACAAGACAAAAGAGCTTCAAGGCATGGTAGTACTAAGTCATGAATGCAGTGCTATCATTCAGAAGAAGTCCATTCCAAGGAAGTTAACTGATCCAGGGAGCTTCACACTCCCTTGTGCCATTGGACCTCTTCTATTCTCTGGATGTCTTTGTGATTTAGGAGCATCAGTCAGCTTGATGCCATTCTCCATAGCTAAGAAGTTGGGCTTTAGAGTTTTCAAACCCTCAAGGATTTCTCTTATCCTTGCAGATAGATCAGTTAGATTGCCTGTTGGTATGTTGGAAGATCTACCTCTCAAGATAGGTGGTTTTGAGGTTCCAACAGATTTTGTTGTGCTGGAAATGGATGAGGAACCAGTAGATCCTCTCATCTTGGGCAGGCCATTCTTAGCCACTGCAGGAGCTATTATTGATGTGAGAGGTGGGATAATAGAGCTTCAACTTGGGTCTGAAAGGCTCAAGTTTGATGTGAATGAGATGATGAAGAAACCCACCATTGAAGGTCAATGTTTCTATGTGGAGACAATGGACCAGTTGGCTGATGAGTTGCTTGAGGAACTGAACACTGAGGATCCTCTTCAAGCTGCTCTAACTCAAGAACAAGGAGAGAATGAGCTCTTGGCTGAAGCAAGTGAAGGGTATAAGCTGTATCTGGACAATGCAAGAGAGCTGGGTCCTGAAACAAGGTTTTTGGAGCTGGAACAAAGAGGCTCTGAAGTCTTTGCTATCAAGGAATCAGTCACCAGCCAAAGCAACCTGGACCAGGACTGGAATGAGGCTGATGCACCCTCTGTTGAGCTCAAGCCTCTACCAACAGGGCTCAGGTATGCGTTCTTAGGCCTGAACTCTACTTTTTCCGTGATCATAAATGATAACTTGCTGGAGCATGAGGAACGTGCATTACTTAGTGAAATAAGGAAATTTAGGAGAGCCATAGGGTATTCCTTGGCAGACATTAGAGGAATCTCTCCTGATATATGCACCCACAGGATCCACCTGGAGGACTAAGCCATGTCCTCTATTGAGCACCAACGTAGACTTAACCCCAACCTTAGGGAAGTGGTTAAGAAGGAGATACTAAAGCTTCTTAAGGCAGGGATAATTTACCCAATCTCTGACTCAAGATGGGTGTCTCCTGTTCATGTTGTGCCCAAGAAAGGTGGGATCACAGTGGTGAAAAACGACAAGGATGAACTCATAGCTCAAAGAACCATAACTGGCCATCGCATGTGCATTGACTATAGGAAATTGAATTCTGCTTCTAGAAAAGATCATTTCCCTTTACCATTCATTGATCAAATGCTTGAAAGGTTAGCTAATCATCCTTATTTTTGTTTTCTCGATGGGTACTCGGGGTTCTTCCAAATTCCCATAGACCCCCGGGATCAAGAGAAAACAACATTCACATGCCCTTATGGCACTTATGCTTATAGGAGAATGCCCTTCGGTTTATGTAATGCACCGGCCACTTTTCAAAGATGTATGATGCACATTTTCTCTGACATTATTGAAGAGAAAGTTGAGGTGTTCATGGATGACTTTAGTGTCTATGGCTCCTCCTTCTCGGATTGTCTCTCTAATTTGACACAGGTGTTGGAGAGATGTGAGCAGCACAACTTGGTGCTGAACTGGGAGAAGTGTCATTTCATGGTGCAAGAAGGAATAGTTCTTGGGCACAAGATCTCTGAAAAGGGTATTGAGATTGATAAGGCAAAGGTGGAAGTGATGGTGAATCTGCAAACCCCCACTTCAGTAAAGGATAAGGAGCTTCCTTGGTCATGCAGGGTTTTATAGAAGATTCATAAAGGACT